GGGGGCTCTGTAGCTGGAAGATTTGCTGAGGTGGGTTTCTGAGTGGTTAGTGGGGGCTCTGTAGTTGAAGCATTTACTGAGGTGGGTTTCTGAGGAGCTCTCGGGACCTCTGTACCTGGAACAGTTGCTGAGGTGGGTTTCTGAGGAGCTCTTGGGAGCTCTGTACCTGGAACAGTTGCTGAGGTGGGTTTCTGAGGAGCTCTTGGGACCTCTGTACCTGGAACAGTTGCTGAGGTGGGTTTCTGAGCAGCTGGTGGAACCTTGGTAGCAGGAGGGCTTTCTGTAGGGGAGAGATGTTAACCATTAGGTAAATATTAGTGTGCAAATTAAGATTGCTTAACTGATCGCTTGCTCCCTGGCTCTTCTTTTTCTTTTCCCACAAACACCTAAAAATGACCTTTAGGAAACCTAAGTCTTGTTTCGTATTTCACAAGGACCTGAAATGCTACGTTGTTTTTGCCTAGGTACAAATTACTCCTACAGCCAACTACAGCAGATTTACACCAAAATAGTATTGAAGATCTTAAGCTGTTTTCTGTGTGAGGAAAAGAAACCGAAGTCTGGGTTGGCAGTGATCTCATTCCATGAGACATCCTGAGCCTCTGCTCTCTATTTTCTCTCTCAAATTGTCTTCTCACGCTCATGCTAAAACCAAAGAACAACAGGATGCAACCACTGGACCAACTGAGATAATCACAGCATAGAAATTTTTCCAACATTTTCAGGATAGCTGCGTGAGCTTGGAAGTTTGTTTCACATCTTTTTTAAAGTAAAAAAGGCAATTTGAGTTAAAAAACTTCCTTTTCTCCTCTTGTGCTGGTTGTTGTTAGCTGTTGACAAACTGGCCCCTGGCTCATGGCGACCCCATGCACAATGGAACAAAACACTGCCTGGTCCTGCACCATCCCCATGATCAGTTTCAGATCAGACCGTTATGATCCATAGAGTTTTCACTGGCTGATTTGCTGAAGTAGATGGACAGGTCTTTCTTCCCAGTCCGTCTTAGTCTGGAAGCTCTGCTGAAACTGTTCATCACAGCAACACGCAACCCCCTCTGAGAGACAGGTGGTGGCTGTGCTTGAGGTATATTGGCCAGAATTCAAACCAGGTCTCCCACATGGAAGGCAAGAATTCTACTACCTTAGTTTAGTTCAGATAATAAATAATGTGAAACTTAAGTTATGTTAAGATCAGAGTCTGAGAATTACTATTCTAGCAAAGTTTTGGGTCTTTAGTGCCTGAAAGAGTCCTGGTGGTGCAATGGTTAAATGCTCAGCTGCTAACCAAAAGGTTGACGGTTTGAACCCTCCCAGTGGCTCCTCAGGAGAAAGACCTGGTGATCAGCTTCCATAAAGACTACAGCCTTGAAAACCCTCTGGGGTGGTTCTACTCTGTCACCTGGGGTCATGATTAGTCAAAATCCACTCAATAACCAGCACCTAACAACAATGCCTGTGTGGCTCTGGATTACTTACTCAACTCCCTTTTAAGGCAGTATTGTTAGTGGTTAAGCCTGTTTTCACAATTTACTAGAATCTTCAGCAAGTTCTCTAATCCCTCTAAGCTTCAGTTTTCTCATATATAAAATGAGGATAAAAACAAGCAGACTGCATAACATTATTGTAAGGATTAGGGAAATTACATTACATCATCCAACACTACTGCCCAGGGGCAGACCATCCAACAGGCAAGGTAAGCACGGTGCTTACCTTGTGTTATGGATTGAATTGTGTCCCCCTAATATGTGTGTCAACTTGGCTAGGGCATGATTGTGTGATTGTCCACTATTTTGTCATCTGGTGTGATTCTCCTATGTGTTGTAAATCCTACTTCTATGATGTCAATGAGGCAGGATTAGAGGCAGTTATGTTAACGAGGGAGGACTCAATCTACAAGATTAAGTTGTATTTTGAGTCAATCTCTTTTGAGATATAAAAGAGAGAAGGGAACAGAGAGACAGGGGGACCGCATGTCACCAAGAATTAAGAACCAGGAGGACAGCGTGTGCTTTGGACCCGGTGTCCCTATACTGACAAGCTCCTAGCCCAGGGAAAGACTGATGACAAGGACCCTCCTCCAGAGTCAACAGAGAGAGAAAGCCTTCCCCTGGAGGTGGCGCCCTGAATTTGAACTTCTAGCCTCCTAGACTGTGAAAGACTAAATTTCTCTTTGTTAAAGTCATCTACTTGTGGTATTTGTGTTATAGCAGCACTAGATGACTACAGCACCTTGCTTACCAGATCATCTGTAGTGAACATTTTTTTTATCACATCAAAGATTCTGCTTCTAGGTATGGCTGGCATCTGTCTCTCTCCCAACTCCATGGCCCCTTCCTACCAAATCAAAGCCTCTTTTCAAATTTACAATCCCTGACAGGGACAGATTACTTAGTGAGCAAGGTAAACATGGGCTCACTTGTGCTTACTTACTAATCTGTAGTGAACAATGTCACATGTGAACAAAATCCCATGTGACATTCTTCACTACAGCTTAGTAAGTAAGCCAGTACTTACCTTGCTTATTAGGTAATTCCCCCTGCTACTGCCACCAGCACCATCAGCACAGGTCATGGGCCAGGCACTCGGATGTTGTGTGTTTTTTTTCTGGTTCCTTTACCTATCTTATAGGATGCTGTAAGGGATAACTCATGAACTACCTAGCAGAGGACATAGCACTTAGTGGGCACTCAAAAATGATAGACATTACTAGGGTGAATGAAGTTTTTATATGGACTTTTCACCTAAGGCTTTCATATATAAACATTATTCTTTGTTCCACCAAGCTAGTTCTCATTTTTGGTCCAGAGGATTATGTACTACCATAGAGTTTGAATTTCCTGGCAGTTGGTGTTGTTTTAGTTATCTTTTTGATACTGATGCCTAGCTTAAGTCCACTGGCGTCAGAAAGCATGCTCTGAATTAACTTCAGTCTTCTGAAATGCACTGAGGTTTATAGCCCAGCATATGGTCAATTTTGGTAAATGCTCCATGTGCACTTCAAAGAAATCTGCCATATGTTGTCATGAAATTCAATGCTCTTTTATGTCAATTTTTTCAAGTGTAATTGCTGTTCAGATTTTCTACATCCTTACTGATTTATGGCTGCTTATTCTATTAGCTAATGAGACAGCAACATTGAATTCACCAGCTGTGTGCATTTGACTATTTCCCTTTCTGTTCATTTTTGTTATATACAGATTGAAAGCTTGAGTGTTTACAGAGTTTGGATTATATCTTCCTGTTAAATTGACCAGTTTATCATTATGAACTGCTGACCTTAAAGTTACTTTGATATTAAAGTAGTTATACCAGCTTTCTTTTGGTTAATGTTTGCATGGTATATTTTTCAATCCTCTACTTTGAACTATTTTGTGCTCTTATGATTAAAGCGTGCCTCTTGTAAACAGCAAATAGTTAGGTTTTATTTTTTAATCTTAGTCAAATTACACTTAGTGTAATTACTGTTAAAGTTGGGTTTAAATCTACCACCTTACTATTAATTTTCTATTTGGCCCATCTATTTCATGTTACTTTTTATTTCTCTCTTTCTCTTGCCTTCTTTTGGAGCAAATATGAATTATGATCCTTTTACTAGCTTGTTATTTATACAGTCTTTTACTATTCTTTTAGTGGTGATCCGAGAGATTACAAAATGTTGTTGTTTTTAGGTGCCATCAAGTCGATTCTGACTCAGAGCGACCCTATGTACAACAGAACGCAACACTGCCCGGTCCTGTGCCATCCTCACAAATGTTATGTTTGAGCCCACTGTTGCAGCCACTGTGTCAATCCATCTCATTGAGGGTCTTCCTCTTTTTCGCTGATCCTCTACTTTACCAAGCATGATGTCCTTCTCCAGGGAATGATTCCTTCCGATAACACGTGCAAAGTACATGAGACAAAGTCTCACCATTGTTACATCCAAGGAGCACTCTGGCTGTACTTCTTCCAAGACAGACTTGTTCATTCCTCTCACATTCCATGGTATATTCAATATTCTTTGCCAACACCATAATTCAAAGGTGTCAATCCTTCTTCTGTCTTCCTTATTCATTGTCCAGCTTTCACATGTGTATGAGGAGATTGAACATACCATGGCTTGGGTCAGGCCCACCTTTGTCCTCAGAGTGACATCTTTGCTTTCTAACGCTTTAAAGAGGTCTTTTGCAGCAGATTTGTCCAATACAAATTTTGATTTCTTGACTGCTGCTTTCATAAGCATTGATTGTGGATCCAAGAAAAATGAAATTTTGACAACTTCATTCTTTTCTCCATTTATCATGATGTTGCTTATTGGTCCAGTTGTGAGGATTTTTGTTTTCTTTATGTTGAGGTGTAATCCATACTGAAGGCTGTGGTCTTTGATCTTCATCAGTAAGTGCTTCAAGTCCTCTTCACTTTTAGCAAGCAAAGTTGTGTCACCTGCATAACACAGGTCGTTAATGAGTCTTCCTCCAATCCTGATGCCCTGTTCTACTCATATAGTCCATCTTCTTGGATTATTTGCTCAGCATACAGTTTGAATAAGTGGTGAAAGGATACAACCCTGATGCACACCTTTCCTGACTTTAAACCATGTAGTGTCCCTTTGTTCTGTTCAAACGACTGCCTCTGAGTCTATGTGCAGGTTCCTCATGAGCACAATTAAGTGTTCTGGAATTCCTATTCTTCGCAATGTTATCCATAATTTGTTATGATCCACACAGTCGAAATGCCTTTGCATAGTCAATAAAAACACGGGTAAACATCTTTCTGGTATTCTCTGCTTGCAGTCAAGAGCCATCTGACATCAGCAATGATATCCCTGGTTCCACGTCCTCTTCTGAAACCAGCTTGAATTTCTGGCAGTTTCCTGTTGATGTACTGCTGCAACTGCTTTTGAATGATCTTCAGCAAAATTTTACTTGTGTGTGATATTAATGATATTGTTCAATAATTTCCGCATTTGGTTGGAACACCTTTCTTTGGAATAGGCATAAATATGGATCTCTTCCAGTCGGTTGGCCAGGTAGCTGTCTTCCAAATTTCCCTCATGCGTCTGTCAGTTTGTTGTACTGTGGGGGCTTGTGTGTTGTTGCAATGTGACAAGATGTATTAGACTATACATCAATGGTGCAAATTATCACTTTTACTACTTTTTCAGTACTGCTAGAACCTTGGAAAATTTAAATTTAATTTGCCCCCTCTGCATTTTGCTTTATTGCTATCATGCGTTTGTATTATACATATAATGCAAACCTCACAGGGCATTGCATTTATTGTTTTGTAAAGTCTATATTCATTTACCCTTGCCAGTGTTCTTTATTTCCTCATGCATTTTCATGTTTCACCTGGGATTATTTTATCCTATAGGATTTCCTTTAGTTTTTCATTCAGCGCAGGTCGGTTTGTTGGTGACAAATTCCCTCAGTTTTTGTTTACTTGAAAACGTCTTTACTTTGTATTTGTTTTCGAAAGATATATTCACTGGGTATAGAATTCTAGGTGAGTGATTATTTTCCTCTAGCATTTTAAAATTTCTTCCTGTTGTCTTTTAATTCCCATCGTTTTTGTTGAGAAATCAGTGATCAGTTTTATTGTGGTTCCTTTCAAGATAATTGTCTTTTTGACTCTTGGTGCTTTCATCATTGCTTTCTGTTTCTAACGTTTTGTTATGAGATGCCTTGAAGTAGTTTTATTTTTATTCTACTTACAGTCTATAGAACTTCATGAATCTGTTGATTGGTGCATTTCATCAGTTTTGGAAAATTCTTGGTCATCAGCCTTTGAATATTTCTTCTACTCCTATTTATCTTTTTCTCTTCTCTTTCTAGTATATGTTAGAACAGTTTAACATGTTTCAAATATGTCTTACATTTTAGTCTATACTTTACTTTTCTTTCCCTCTGTGTGCTTCACTCTGGGTATCTTTAATTAACCTGTCTTCCAGATCCTAATACTTTTCATGCTGTATCTAAATTGCTGTTAAAACCTGTCTACTATGTTCTTAATTTTAGGTATTATATTTTCTAGTTGTAGAATGCCCATTTTACCCCATTTTAGAGACTTAAGTTCTCTGTTGAAGTTCCCTATAACTTCGTGTACTCTCTTGTCCATTTTTTCCTTTATTGTCTTAACATATTAATCATTTATTGTAAAGTCCTTGTTTGCTACCTCAATTATCTAGCTCTTCTTTATCTGTTTTAATTTTTTCTTTGATTCGCTCATATTTTCTTGCTTCTTTCTATGTCTAATAACTTTTTTATTGTATGCCATGTATTGTATGTAAAAAATCCAAATGATATGATCTTCCAATGAGAGGGTGCCCTTGCTGATAGGCATGTTGGTTTGAGGTGATCAAGTCCTCAATCTATCAGGGACTGGGCCTGGTTACAGTTTTAGTAAAATTCAATCTACCTCTGCTCATGCCTCTGTTCCTCAGGAGTGGCCCTCCTGGGCTTTTGATTGAAAGCCTGGTGGATCTTTTTTCCTCAGCCCTGAAAAATTCCAGGTCTGCCCTTCAAGGTCCTCAGCCCAGCAACCTAACCTCCTTCCCTCACAGCTTCAAAATGGATAAATATCTTATGGAAGAAATTGGTTGTATTCTTGAGGTAGATCTACTCCTCTGATGGGTCTTTGTTTCTCAAATACCATAAAGCTATGAGAGATTTTGCTCTGCATTTTAGAAGCGCTGAGAATAGCTCCCCAGCCTTGTATGTAAAAGTCAGCAAATGACTCTTGGGAAAACTGGCTCTGCATTTGAGATCCTTAATTTTCCAAGATTTTACCCTAGCCCTCTACAGTCATTAAAAGCTTTGCAGTTTTCTCTCTTTCCTGGAAGTGGCCATGGTCAAGATATTCAAGATGGATCCTCAGCCCATACCCATAATCAGCAAACGCCCCCAGGGAAAAATACAACTGGCTTACTTCAGAATGGTTTGCCTTCACAGCCCACTCCCAAATATTAGTTCATCTAAAACCAAAAAAAAAAACCAACAAAAAAAAACAGTGCCGTCAGATTGATTCTGACTCATAGGGACCCTATAGGACAGAGTAGAACTGCCCCATAGGGTTTCCAAGGCTATAAATCTTTACGGAAGCAGACTGCCACATCTTTCTCCCACGAAGTAGCTGGTGCGTTCGAACCGCTGATCTTTTGGTTTGTAGCTGAGCGCTTTAGCCACTGTGCAACCAGAGCTTCCATTAAGTTCATCTAAAAATAACCAAAAACCCATTGCCATTGAGTCAATTCCAACTCAGAGTGACCCTACAGGACAGAATAGAACTGCCCCATAGGGTTTCCAAGGAGTGGCTGGTGGATTCGAACTGTGGACCTTTTGGTTAGCAGCTGAGCGCTTTAACCACAGTGTTACCAGGGCTCCCAGTTAGTTCATTTAGTCCTTACTATTTCCACTGCTCTATCTTATGCCCTTAAAAATATGATTTTTTGTAATCTAAGTAGGGTTTTAGTTGTTGTAATAAGAGCATTGGCCTGCCTTGGTCTACTTGGGCACTACCATATAGTTTTAAGCTCTATATAACTGATGATTTAATAAATTAGGGGAAAATAAATATGAAGTCAATAAAATGGCCAAATTAAAAAAAAAAACTATATTTCACTCATAAATAAATGAATTGAAACAATAAAATGACATTTTTGCCACTTATATTGATAAATTTCCATATCACAGTATTTGGGTGCAGAGAACACCACACTGATGCAGTGCTGATGGGAGAGTAAATTGGTATAGTCTCTTTGGAAACAATGTTGGTAACCTCTATCAAAAATCTAAATCCACGTACCTTTGATACAGCAATTATACTGTTAAAAACTTACTGTACAAAATGTACACAGATGCAATGATCTATATAAAATATCTACTATATTATCATTTAAAAAAACAACAACTAGAACCCGAAACCTAAATCCCCTCAATAAGGGACTGGCTAAATAAATGATAAAGCCATACAATTGATACTATGAAAAAAGAAATATGTGTATGTTTCTTTGTTTATAGAAGGAAACACAAGAATTTATAAAGAACTGTTACTTCTGGGAGTAGGACTAGGGATAGAGAGGCGATTTTTATTACTCCTTTTATACTTGTCTGCATGATTTGAATATTACTTTACTTTTTATGGGTAATGTTTATAATAAAAATGATTTTCAATGAACAATGCTTTAAAATATTCATGTTAATAGAATCTCAAGCACAATTTTAAAAGTAGAATCTGCTTCAGTGAGATTGGCATCCATCACTGCTTAAACAAATGACACCTACTGGTGCTGTGCAATGTTACAATCCAGCTTCATTCATCTGCTAACTGCCTCTTAAAAAGTCAATTTAAAAAGCAGTTCTAGGGATTTAAGAGTACTGCCTGGATATTAAAAGGCATTTAGGGGGGAAAAAAATCCAGAAGGATGAAGAAAAGAGAATGGTCATTAATAGAGAGAAATTCTAGAGGCAGAAGATAAATGTAATTCAACTAAAGTCCACAGCTAGGCAAGGGGTTTGTTTCTCTCTCAGTTGTCACAGTGTGTATGGACACTACTTACACACCTCAGTTCAATCCAAGATTTCCCCCTACACCTATTTAATAAAATAAATAATTTTATATACTCTTT